TGCAGTTCTGGAGATGCTCTGACCAAGTCGTCATGTCAAAGTCGCTCAAATCCTCACGCTGCCCATTTTTCAACTTATCAACTTTGATGACAAAATGTTAACTTGCTGCCTAATATATCCCACCCACTGACAGGTGCCCAGATAATCAGTTCTTCACTTCACCTGTCAGTGCTCACAATGTTATGCCGATAGGTATAGTTGTTTGCTGCTATATTCATGTTGTCAATCTCTTATGTATAACCTTTAAATGTAAGTGTAACTTCCCTTTAGAATGTATGTTTCAGTGCTTAGTAGCTCTCTTGGAGGTAGTGACAATGCAACACACTAATTGTTGACTCTCATACGTGATTCTCATAACCATATAACTCATATAACCAGCTGGGGGCAATATTACATTGAAAATGACTTAAACTGAATGTTAAATATTCAAATGTGAACAAGATGTTACATCTGGAAGGGGCGAGAGTTGTTTAGCATAAGATGTGTCTGTATCAATGCACATGAACATGGCCTCCAGGGATCCGTACCTGGTTAAAAATAACTGGAAGTCCAGCCATCCTCACTGTGGGGTAAAACCAGAACAAAATTTAGACATGTTTTGTTTACCTGTTACTCTCTCGAAGCGGTTCGCTGCCCTTCCTCCAAGAGACCACACCCCAAGGAGACATCTTGGGCTTGCACTCGATGAGCGCATCTCCTCCCACCTTCACCAGCGTCTGGCTCCTCACTTGGTTGTGAGAGAAATCTGGGGCAACAGCTGAGACAAGAGCTGCATATTAAAGCCAGTGTTTGTAAAAGCCTCACATCTCTATTCCTCCAGATGATCTCCGATTATTTATCTGATACTACATTTATCTCTCATCATTTGATTTTCACCATTTTGTCAAATTAGTTTATAAATACATTACATTATTGCCATGGATAATACAATCTGAATAATTAGTATTCAAAAGCTAAATAGTAATGTTCATAATTGATGCTGTGGAGTTGAAGAGATCGATCTTTAGAGAACTTTATATTATTCTCAGTAGAGACAGCAATGCCTTGTTCAGTCCCACATAATAATGTTCCCTGGCTATATAGCACTTTAAAAATATGTGCCCTTTTCAAAAGTTGTACCTGATATTCTTTTTCTCTTAAACCTCCACCTTGAGTTTGACCAGCACATTTGGCTGTGTTCAGCCTGATCTCGATCAGCAACATGATCAGGGTGAGACATGTTAGAGGATGAATAGTGAATGAGAGCTGCTGCCAGCCCAGAGTGGAGAGTGACAGGCCTGACAGGCTGGTGAACAGAGGAGCTCTGGCATACATCACTGTCAACCGGACGCATTCATCTTATAATTAATGCTTTTCAATTAGTGGCCAATAAGAGAGAGGCCGGAGGTCATCCGGCGGCATTGAGCAGAGGAAGAAGACGGGGAAAACTTGAGAACAAAATGGACAAATATGGACAAATGTATGCTTGCGCACATGTCTCCATGACAACGAGCATACTGTATGCACACATGCGCACACACAAAGCTAGCATCTTACCTATAACTCGGAGCTCTGCGTTGGAGTAGACCTCGCCGTGCTTGTTGCCAGCCACGCACTGGTACATTCCTGTGTCGGACAGGGTCAGACGACTGATTGACAACGCTCCATTGGCAACCTGTACGCGCTCCTGTGGACACAGAGACACATGCCTTTAATATGCCTTATTCCCAACGCTCATCTACATAAAAACAGCCAGCCAGTAGGGTAGTGAATTATGGTCTGGAAGTGACAGACGTGGCAATAAATCTAGGTTTTCATCACTAATGGAGGGAAAGGCTTGGGTGGATGGAGGCAGGGTAGCAGAAAATGACCCTAATCAATCTGCATGTTTATGAGAGTGAAATAAAACCGTGCCCTATTTATATCTCCGGCTGCACCAGAGGGCCTGTTTCCCCTTCAGCAGTAGGAGGGGATAAGAGGGGAAGGAATATCGTAACATCTGAGGTATAATGCATTGTGAAAATTGCTTTTCTGATAGGTGTGCCACATACATACTAAGTGCTGTTTACATGGTCAAGCTGTACAGTACCTCCTCTTCATCTGTTTGGACTATCATTTTTGCATTCCTGCAGGGATAATCTTGCTTGCCACTGAGCCATCAAATTAAGATCTACTTGAGGACGGCTGGGTCTGATGAACTAAAAACTTGGTTGGATCAGTGCATCTGTTGGACATTTAATCCCCAATATACATTTATCTCTCTGAACTCGGGTTCTCGCTCTCCCTCCTTCACTACAGTATTAAATCCTTGAGCAGTTTTCATACATCTCTATGCAGCTCTGTCAGGTTCTGCCTTCTCATGCCCTTCATCTCCTGTGTTTTCCCCGGGCTCACCCGTAATGTCATTAGAGCCCATTTCCATAGGGGTGTCTGAGCAGGTCTGAACTCCAGTCGCGGGGGATTAAGGTACTGTCACATGAAAAGGGAGACTGTCCTCGCTGAAAGATCACAAACTAATCCTGTGTTTGAGCAGGTTGTGCCTGAATTTCAATAACGCTCTGTGGCTCTGGATGTGCAGGGGCGAATATTCCTGCTGGTGAGGGAGGCAAATGGTGGCGTGTATCAGTCTGTGCATGGAAAGCACTCCCATTTACGGCTGCTATTAATTAAGCATGACGTTCCTCTCAAATCAGCAGTTTTTCATGCAGGGACCTGGGGGGACCATCTGTACGCCTTATGCTGAAGGGAAATGATTGGCAATGTCATTTGCCAACAACACTGGGTTGATTGGTTTTATATAAAGCTGCAGAAACATGTTAAAGAATGGATGCCACGAAGGAACGACTTTTATGGTTTAGAAAAGGGAGCTTCTTGGGTTTGATTGCTGTCTATAACTCTGTTGATCGGAATTACTGGAAGCCTTTGTGAGAATGATGCAAATTTACATTCAAATTACGGCTGTAACATTTAAAAGCTACATTTGATATTGTAACAATATCAATCCACTACTGTGGATAAAGGGAAAAAGTGGAAAACAATTTTTAATTTAATTTAAATTTAATTTTTAATGGTGTAAAAGAAACAAAAGCAACAAATAAGTAACGTGAAAATCTGCTAAATCTATTTACAGAAATCTGAATAAGGAAGCACAATAACAACTAAGCTCAACAGTGGCTTTAAAGCTGCAGTAGATAACTTCAGTAAAAATAACTTTTAGTCATATTTTCTGAATCTTTCACTATATCCTGACAATAATACTGATCTGACTGATCATTTGTGAAAAAAATTGGTTTCTCTGGCTCATCTTAGATGAGAAAAGCAACCAATCAGAGCAGAGAACTATCTTTCTCAGCTCTGATTGGTTGTTTTCTTGCAAATGCCATTAGGAGCACTAGGAGGAGCCAGAGGAACCAGATTTTTTTAACAAATATGACAGAAAGTTTTTTTTTATAAAAGCTACCAGCTGCAGTTGTAACAAAAGCTCTACACTCAGCTTGTTTGTGCCACTTGAGCCTAAATTAACAGGAAAGGCGGAATTTTAAAAATCAGCCTAATCAGGATGTAGGGTAGCGATTAGATCACCCATTCTTGAAAGAAAGGGTTTGGCATAAGAGTCCTGAACGAAATAACCTTAGCTCAAGTACACTATTGTAAACTACATAGTTGGTATGGTGGTTCCACAGTCCTCTAAATAGACTAAATCCTGTTTCACGGTGAAGTTTCCCTTTAATTGCACAGCCACTTAATCCTCCAGCCATTGTCAATAAAGCGGCAGAGTGAAGTCCTTTAGATGAAAAGAGACACAAGAAAAGAAGCATTCCAACAAACCATGTACCAACCATGTTTAATGGCTGCACATGACACAGTCATACTGGTCTATACTGGTAGAACACAGCAGCATGTTAACTGACTGTCCAACAAAGAGCCCAGTACTCGTAAAACCAGTTTGAGAGGTACTATTATTAGACTGTAACACTAGAAATAGTTAAGGTTCTTGAATATTTTAAATGACTGACATTGAATAATTGAATGCACATATACTCAGCTCTATATATCATGACCCCCTAGAAACCTACAGCACTGTATAATCAATTTTTTTACCTTTACACATTGATTGCTCTTATTTCTGTTGCTCAAAGTTAGAAAGCTGTCAGCAGAAATAAGTTCCAGACCTTTCTTTACAATCAGAAAGGTCTCAATTGATTCACTGTAATAAATAACAACAAATGGTGCATCCTCTCCCCACTGCTCCTTACATCATTGACCTTTCCCTCTTCCACTCATTAAGCCACTGTGGTTAATGGTGGCATTTCAAACAATGTAACCACCTTTGCTGATTAATCCATTCACCCATGCATTCGGAATATGTCCATTTATTATGTCTACGTTGAGGGGGAATACAAAAAAAACCACAGACATTGTAACCTTTAATCACACATTCATTGCTTTGATTCCAGATGGTACTATTTAGTATTATTTTTTATATTATTTATTTTATTATTTTATATATTTTTTAAAAACACTTGTGTTTTCATTTGATTATATTCAGCTCAGAATAAAATGAGAAAGCAGTAGGAGTAAGGTCACATTGACAAAAGGAAGAAGAAAAAAAAATGTTATGACACAGTACGCACTAGAAATTACCCGTCACAATGCCCCTAATATTTGCTATTTTTAAGAAACTACCAAACAAGAGAAACAAATATGTGGTTTGTTTCACACATAAAAAAACAGATGGGCTGTCTCGTTTCCTAACAAACAAACACAAGAATGTTGTTACTTTATAAAAGGATTTGATAAAAATGTTAGCCATTGGCTAAACAGATTGTTGATTATTCTTCCCTGATAGCAAGCCAAATCTGTTTTTTATGAGAAAGAGGCTTTGCTGTGCAGAGCGTTGCCTCTAGTCATGCGACGGCAGGCTGGGTTCATTTCAACAACATGTATAACATTCAAGTACTGATCGATATCCTCTGGTGTGTTTGCCGCCTTTTTTGCATAATGAAGCAAATTAACATAATGCCTGTTTATTTATCAGGTGCAAGCTGTGCTCGATATGTCTAATCAATCTTTTCCAAACAACCTGGTTAAAAGATGCGATACAATAATCTAATATGATGCAGGAATATTGAATCATATTTTTGCAAATGCCAACAACAGTTTTCAGTTGAAGTTAGATGTACAAGTAAGCTGCCAGAGCCACGATAGGCTCATCTTTCATCATTGCAGCTATAATGGGAATTCAGAGGGAGGGAGGTAAAATGAAAGTAGGATATGGAGTGTTTATATAGAGAACCTTACTTTTTCGTCTTTGGTGTGGCACAGGATTAATAACTGCACTATGTGAAGTGAGATTTAAAAGAAGATTAGAGCAGCTCTTACATCACTGTGCTTTCAGGACTAGCATGAAATACTTGGCCTGTTTACAGTTTAGTCTCTGAAAAGCACAGTTGACACAGTTGAATTCCTTTGAAAAAAAAAGAAATTGGTGTTTTGCAGATGTGAACATAATGTATTGCCGCGCAGGAGGCGCTGTGTTGTAATGAAGAAGACAATAATGCATGGTAATTAGTCAGTAAAGCTTGAACAAACAGCACAATAAAGCTTTGAAAATACAGTACATGGTTGCTCACAGTCTTCATTCAGCAGCAGCAGCGAGTATGCGAGTAACATCTGTGCCAAAGCTGCTGCCGCGAGTCTAACCTTGGAAGCGGAGCTTTATCTTCAATTCTAAAGACTTGCTAGCGCTTGGCAGATCTCACCTCTGCAGACTCCAGGTTCTCTCCATTTTTCATCCACCTGTAAGACGGCTTCGGCTTCCCTGTGGCTTTACACTCCCACACCAACGAGTCATCAATGAGCTTCTGGACATCTTGGGGTTTCTCAATGAGATGAGGAGGGGCTGGAAATATTGAAAATGTGAGGGTGAGCTGAGGTTTTTGACTTAGGCATTCTTAATATGAACAAAATAACACAGTTTGTAAGGGCATCATTTCCATTGAGATTATTCATTTATTTATCCTATATTTAACTAGGAAGTTCCCACTGAGACACAAGATCTCCAGAGAGACTTTTGGTAAAAAAAAGGACAGCAAAAAACAAAATAAAAAGGTTTTTCATAAATGTACAGACTGGGACAGATGACTTTACAAAAAATGTAATATAAACACAACAAACACACACAGATGAAGGGCCAAACAGATGTTGACAATTGACTGATCACTAAAATCACCTAAACAGTGACTAAGTATATGCTAAGATCCAGATGTAAGAAAGGATTAGTTGGTCACAATGTTTATATGCTTATCTAAGTGGCCTTCAGTTACCACCCTGTGCTCACAGCAATTAAACTTAAGTAGCAGCGAGAGCTTTGTGTATTTTTTTTCTTTTAGCCTGGGTTTCACCTGTCAGGCTACATAGAAGGTTTTGGGTCTGTATGCAGCCTTAGATGAAGCCTGAAGGGAGTAGTCAAGGCTGACAATACCTCATGTCTTTCAGATAAAAAGAAAACATATACATGTTTTATTTGCTGTATTCTTTATATTGGACACACAAATTTAACATCAAGGCCTGTGCTCTTGATGCAGGGAAATCATTGTAATCATTATTTATCATGAAGTATTAGGTCTCTATCTAGGAACCATGAGTATAAGATTAATACAGCAATATATAAGGCATTATTATGGAAACCACACAGGCCAGAGTATTTATAGTGTGCTATTAGATTGATATAAATGTTTATTAAAGCGGCTTTGTGTGCCAGCACTTATAAAAATAACAAACCCCCATCGTTGCAAATATGTGCTGATTAAAGCCAGCAGTCAGTATTGGTTGATGTTTAACATTAATTGAATGTACATATATATTACTGAAGATTTTTACTGATTTTCTTTGTTAATTATAGTTATAATTTAAAACAAAGGACATTAACTCAAGATTTGGTTGATTTCTTGTGTTAGGCAGTGTATTAAAAGACAATCCACAGGCTAGGCTTATGTTCTCCTTTTAAGATTTCTTTCAGTTTTCTAGTGGAACAGAAGTAATGAAAACCAGAACCATATACATTAAGATGGCCACTGGTGCCATAAAAACCCTCCATTCGATACAATCTGAGTAAATGATGGTATAATTATACAGGAAGAGAATTGATTTCTTGCTGTGTCATGCAAGTAACTCAAGGCTAGTTACCGATTGAGGCAAAAAAAGTGGTACATAAAACTAGATCTGTAAAGCTCTCTGCGAAACACTCTGTACATTCTGGATGATGTGTAGGTCAAGCTACTATCATCCTATATCACACAAGGCCATTGCAGGACAAGAGTAATAGCTGACCGCACTTTTCCATTCTGCGGACCTCACCCCATGCCACTCTCAAGGACTGACCTTTGTGGAGCCTTTTCAGCAACAGTACAAATCCTGCTCTAATTGGCCTCTGCTATACAGCATTTTGCCTTCGAGTAAAGCAGGATAACACAGCGAGAAATTCGATAGCTGCAAATGTATCCCCACAATATCTCTGCGCAGTACAGCTTCAGCATGCAGTCGATGTGCGAGCTAGACCGCAAGCATGTGGGTGTTCAGAAACGCAGAGCGAGGACTGATAAAAAGAGGTGGATGTGAAGACCAGAGGGGGGTATTTGTGCAGACTGGTGTATTTATGTTGGAGTCCTGCGTAGATTTAACATCCAAATCCAGTCCGGAATGAAAGGAACGTTTGTATTTGTGGATCATGTGCTGTACTATAGGCCTCTAGGATCCCTTTGGCAGCCGAGGCTGCAGCACAAGGTTGGTTGAGGTCATTAACATTTAAGGTGTGTGGAGGCTGTGCTGTTGCCATCTGTGCAAACAGTAAAAAAGGGTTACAATTTCCTTTGACTGAGAGCCGCTGTTTATTCAGCTACAGAAAAGTGACATTTACACTTAAGCTATGTGAGGTAGCATCAATGCTAACCTTCCCTTTATTGTAGCTGCCTAATCTTACAGGAATGTTACAAAATAATGCATCAGTTTATTCACATTAATATATTTTTGATATTCATTTCAGCTGTGTAAACTTGTATATACCTAAGAGGCCTAAGTGGTATGTATGTGCAGAGGCGGCTCTAGAGGGGTGGCCACTCCAGCTGCCACCCCTATGTGGTGTCAAATGCTGTCAAATTTTAACAAATTAATTTAGATTAAAAACAACATGTCAAAAAACAGAAATCAATTTAATGATCTGTCATGACCACATTTTAGACTTAGTGATTTAGACTTAGTGATAGGCTTAAGTTGAAATGAAACACACATGTATTTGGAAAAATGTCTGAAGATTTGGAAAGAAATAATAATTTATTGATTTCTAAAGCCAGCTTTAGATATTTCTATTCAGTTATTTATTAATGTGCCACTACAATGTAATGTTTTTGAGTATATATGTTGGGTATATGTGATTGTCTGAGATTAAATCAGCACATATTTCTGCCATCCCTTAAATTATCCGTGCCACCCTCTTGCCACCACCTGACTATTTCTCTAGATGTGCCTTTATTTAGAAAAGAACCAACTAGGACAAATGGTAGAAAGACTCCACCATCACTAGTCATTTAGCATCACATCCATTCATGCTACCGCAACCCTCCATCAGAGCCCGGCTGAGCTGCCCCACCCACTGCACCTTTCAGGACTGCACTGTTGTTGTTGGCTTTTTCTCCTCTCTCCTCGCTTTCAGGGTCCCTCACTCTATTCCTCACCCGCTGCAAAAGTATCGACTCTCAGTCAACGCTTACCAAATGAAAGCAGGCAGCCCATCTCTGCCTTGTGCCCGGGCCAAGCACGCATACAATCAGAGCAAATGTCGAGCGGCTAAAGCAAGAGGAAAGATGAGAATTTGCCTTATCGGTGGAATCAGTGTGAGATAATGCAGCCGTATAAGTCTGCAGAAACACAAATGTGAATACAACAGCGGGAAACGAACCTGTCAGAGCTTTGCATTTACTTTCCCTCTGAGTAATATCAACATCAACAAGAGAGAATACGCCTATTTCTTTTCCAAGCTTTGCTTTCAGGGGTGGAAATTTAACAAAACAACAGCTTGTCTTTGGCTTGAGAAGTAGTTAAACACTGCTTCCGATACAGAATTATGAAGAAAGACTGCACACAAACTAAAGAGAATTTTAATTTCACCTCCAGCAAAAATCCAAACTGTGATTTTTTTAAGCAGTTAATGAATTCATGTTTCACTTAGTACATCAAGACAAAATAAAGGAGATGGGAAAATGTAACATTTTAAACCCACTGTTGTAAACTTGAATTACATCTCCTTCATATCCAGAACAAAAAAAACTCAAAACACATCATTCCCACTTTATTAGTGCGATCGAAGCATCTCGGTACTCTAACATTAAAACTATAAAAGAAAATGTTTGAACAATGACTACAGAGCCACCAAGTAACACCTCCATTTCTTCCTGTCAAACACAGCCCAGCTCTCTGTAGCTTCCTTGGATGTACAAGAGGTATACACTTATCGATTCCCCCATTGGCTTACACTGCTGACGAATGTCTCAAAGGCTTAATTCAAAGGGAGTTCAAAATAAGATAACTGATTTTTATCACCTGCCTGCAGACAGCAAGGGGGAGAGAGAGAGAGAGAGAGAGAGAGAGAGAACGAGAGAGAGACAGCAGGAGAGAGAGCGAGAGAGAGCCAAGCAGACCAAACCAAATTATCAACAAGCAAAAAGAAAACCATATCACATCTTGGAATATTCTATCTGACCCTAAAAAGAGAATTCCCATTTGCAAATCAGATCTGACCACAGTAAAAAGAAAACTAAGAAAAGCTTTGACTATACAGACTCAGCCTGGCTGTAGAGAAGGGTCGCCATGAACAAAGCTCGCTGCCAGAAGAGGAGAGACTCTGCTCCCAGTGTGACAGAGGACAGGTAGAGACAGAGCTGCACTTTCTAACCTCATGCCCTAAATACCAGCCTCTGAGAAATGTTCCTTATATTGGAAAAATACACCCAGAATGTGAAAACATAACAGACACAGAGAAATTGACAGACTGCCAATGGCCAACTGTGAAATTATTGCTGCAAAATGTTTCACCTCCTGTGATGACCTGAGGCCTAGGATGATAATATGATAATGACCTATTTGTTAATTTTTCATTTAAATTAGTATTCTAATTAATATATTTTTTCATTGAATTTTTGTTATTACTGTGATTATTTTTGTTTATATCGTTTGTAAATCTGTAAATAATTGAGTGATTAAGTTTTTGTTCTGATATTTTCTGGATTCTATGAATTCTAATGTTTTTTTTGTTTTTTTGTTTTTCTTTTTCGTCTATAATTTCTTCATGCTTGTCATTGTTACACTCATGCCAATAAAGCAAACTGAATTAAAATGAGAATGAGAGAGAGAGAGAGAGAGAGAGAGAGGCACAGCTCAAAAGGACAAATCAAGCCTTGGTGGATCACAGCGTGCTCCTGGGCTGTTAGAGTGAACAAGGCTAAAAGCTTCCAGTGCTGCTGTAAATAATAGCAAATTGTTTAATACCCAAAATGAGTTATTTCTGACAGATGACACAGCACGACTTGAGGAGAGGAAATCAGAAGGAAAAAAGGTGGGAGGAAAATCCAAAGATTGCTCAAAGAGGAAGTTAACTGCCTGGCAAACCTGAGCAGAAAAGTCCTCGTCAAAATATTATGAAAATATAAATTGAATGACACTGTTCTGTTTACTGATTTATTCATGGCCATTCACGAGAATAGGAAGTTACCTGATGCTGCTGTAGGTAAACAGCTTTAATATACTTAGTATAAGGTCAGATAGGTTTGCTCACTTCAGCTCAGACCTGTGGCACCTCCTTTCCCCTGTCACTCTCCAGCTGTCACTATCGATTAAAGGCAATAAAGCCCCAGAAAATATTTAACCAACCAAAGTGGTCTTGAAAAGAAAAATGTTTAAATGTGAACTATCGACCATTTTCTAAGAGCATTTATTTTTCTGATGGTGGATCCTGGGATTAAGTGGCAGTAAATTATCATGACTTCTAGTATCTGAACTCAATAGGTGTGCCTCTGTGACAATGAGTGAATCCACTAACCCCCTTCCCATGGATCCAGATGCTGCTGGGCAGATTATGTCCCTGACATATGTGCCACTGGTCTATGTATAGTACATTTAACGGCTTTGATCTCCTGTCAAGTTGGATGTCAATCATGATGCCATCTGGTGGAACCCAATACAAGGCTCACCAACAAGGTCGTATTCAAGGGCTCAGCCTCATCTGCATCACTCCTTTAATCTGGATCAAAATATTAGAGGCATCATGGCTGACAGCCTTTAATCATTTTGATGTGCTGTTAAAACGAGCCGCCCTCCTCATGTACGCAGCATCATCCTCCGCTGATCGCAGCTGACTGCTTTATGAGACCGCTTGTGTCTGCTTTTGCTGCCTCTCAGTCTCAGCTGGTCTGACAGATGTGGTGCACGCTGGTCAAATATTCATGTGTGTCAGGATCACCTACCGTAGAAAGAGAGCTTTCCTTTCACTGTGTTCATTCCCCTGGAGTTCTCGGCCACACACTCGTACGTGCCGGCGTCCTCCTGCTGGAAATATGGGATTTCCAAGACGCCACTGGCTTTCCTCATGTCCACTTTCCTGGGGAAGGGTACGCCGTCCATTCTCCTCCAGTTTATGGATGGTACCGGGCTGTGAAAAGAACCACAGAGAAGTTTTTGTGAATGACTCATTGCTCATAACTAAACAAAATTGTGCAGATTCTGATCAATTAAAAGGTAATTTAAGGCTTGACTTCAAGTACAATTTTTTTGTGAAAGTCAAAATCTTGTGTTATACAAACTCAAAAAGACTTTAAGGATTTAATTATATATTGATTATAGTTCGACAAAGAATTGAAGCAAAACTGCTCTGACTACATGTCAATCATATCTATGACAGACTATTTTCCAGTCTTATCTTGCATTATAGAACATAAAAATGTAATTTCATAGTCATGAACTATTTTATGATATCATGTATTGTATTTCTGACATTAACATTATCATAATAGGACGAGCAGTATTTGTTGTGTGTTTGCTTTAAATTAGGACCCATGGCAAACATTATAGTTCCATCTATTAACACTGCACAGGATGAATTAGGTGATTTTGACTGGGGTCCTCGAGGACTGCAACACATATATACATTTGTACTTTTAAAGAGCACTAATCAAAAGAAAAACAGAAAACAACAATATGGAATCATTTGAAAACATACTGACTAACAATGTCATGAAAAACTGATAGAATAAAAAATGACAAAAAGAATACCTTTGGAGTCTCTGTGTGCAGCCCAGTCAGTAAGATTAAGGGTTAAAAAAGCTTAAAAATGCCTCAACTTTCTTATCATATATACACATGCAACTTAACATTAACTCACAGTCCCTTAAATATTTCATCTCAGCGTTTCATTGATTTGCAAAATTAGACACAGGGTGTTCAATTAACCTTGAATTATTCTATTAAAATCCTTAAAGTCCCCCTTCACTCAAAAATATGTTCTTCTTGTATCACAAATAGTTTGGAAGTCAGTCCTGGTCCAGTATGCAACTTGTACATTGTGATGTAGAAAATTGAAGCCACCAGTGCACATCCACTGCAAAATGGACTTTACAGTGAAGTAGGAGACATCTTGTGTATATATATATATATATATATATATATAAAAAAGTCTTAATACATGTCTGGAGGGGATCTTTAATTTTTAATGCAAGGCTGAGGGGCGCAACATTTAGGACTTTAGTCTTTTTAGGAACAAATTCAGCTGTTTTATAGCATAAACTGACCTATTCCATGGCCACTCCTCCATAATATTCACAAGGATATAAGTGTAAGGGGCCTTTAAGGTACAGTTAAGGGGTTTTGTTCCCTGGTGAATGTCAAACTGCTAAAATGACTCCCTAGAACTCCATAGAATTAAGTACATACAGGACGACATATTGCCTAGTCCTGCACTCTGGCCTTCAGCACACTTTGTTACAAAACCTCATATTTTTACTGACGATTTTTACAACACAACATTTGCCCCCTCATTTCTTAGATGTGCAGCCTAGCTTAAAACACATGAGGATTGCAGTAAAGTGGTGAAACACATGAAAAAAAAAGTATCTCGGCACTCTTCTGGTAATATTTTTCTTTTATATGCTAGTGAGCATGCTGAGCCTGAGTAAGAGTGGGCTTACTTTCCCAGAGCGAAGCATTCCAACTTTACAGTGGATCCTTTGGCAACATGAACAATCTCTGGAAACTGAACTTCAATCTTTGGCTCATATTCACCCATCACACCTGAAAGAGAAATGCAAATGAGCGTCAGTGCAAAAATAAAAAAAAATTGTATTTTTGATTTGTAACTCAAGCTAAACAACTCAGGCAAAAAACCCCAACTAAATAAAGAACCAAGTTGTGTCTTCTGTTGTTGCTACACAGTTACTGAAAACCTGTTTCAAGTAAAACCCTCTTTCTACTACAAGCTGAAATGTTTTTCGACTTCCAACGCCGTGCGATCTGAGCAGCAGAAACACGCTCTGCTCTCAGCGCTGTCACAGAATGCTCCCCCAGTGAAAAAAAAATATAGAAAAAGAAAACACAGCTCTTCCAGTGGACACACAACACACTGATGTTGAATGGGAAAAACAACTTTGAGAATTCATAGACGGTTTGAGCTTTTACATCCAGATGAGTTTCATCTTGTTGTAGTGCTAACAGCTATGAACCAGAAAATGGGCCCATAAAATCCCCCTGGGTACCCCTACTGTGTCTACAAAGCATCCCATTCACTGTCGGTGAAGCAGCTCTGGTGGATTATAATATTGCTGCTGTGCATGCTAAAAATCTCTGTATAAAGGAGGAGACGGGGTCTTCGGTGTTCTAGCTTTGGGAGATGCTTATTCATAAATCAAGACTGGAGTGTCTAACATGGTTGGAAAAGCACACGTGTGTTTTTCTCCCTTAATTGACACTAAGGTAAATTATATTAATAAATTTAGTTAGTGCAGTTTCATTTCTCCTAGCCGTACCAGCCCTGGGTGCAGAACATGGTATTTCGAGCCCCTCTCATCCACCAGTGTAACAATAGCTTCCCCCCATTGCTGTAATTCAGGGCTGTGTAGCACAAATAGCTCTAGAGATGGAGGAAACAGGCCAATTTCATCTCGTTGATTTGGTGAGGCATGTGTTATCAGGATGACTCCCTGAGTGACTGTGAAAGCTAATTCAGATCCTTATCACAACTGTCTCATACTGGAATGTAACCACAGCACTATCACCCATTTTAAGCAGACAGGTGGAAGTGGACGGGTAATTGTCTCATACCATAACCTTTTGTAGGGGACACCTGTTCAGTGTGCACCCCATCCCCCAACGCTGATGTTTTGCTGCTACAGACCCTGTTGCCTCGGAGAAATAAAGGTATAATGAAAAAATAAAGGGAAGGAAGAAGGGAAGGGAAGTGCTCAGGAATTGCTTGAAGAAAAAAAACGATTTCTCGAATTCAAGAAACCTTTTTATTTTTTTCAAGTAAGAAATGTCACGTTTTATGTCACGTCTTGAATTATCATTTATATTCTTAATTTAAATGATATACATGATGAAGGTTGACAACCTAATTAATTGTTTTTTCTTTGGACTACAATTGGAATTACTAAAACATTTCATTAACTACGTGCAATGTTTGTCTCATGCCAGATATGTCAGCTATAATTTGATGGCTTTTCTCAGCAAAAGTGTTTTGTCCTTATCTTTTTGTTTTATTTTTGTTTTCGTTTTCAAAACAAACTGTGGTCTCCAGAGAGCCCTCTATCACTACAGCAACAGCATTTAAAAGTTAACTGGGGAGAAGCTGCAGATTGACAGCACAATATTTGGGATATTCTGATATATTTCTATTCAGGTAAGAAAAACAGATTTATTACTACTAGTAGTAGCAGCACTAACACGAATACTAATTCGATAACAGTTTATCATAACTTCCTGTATATATAATTTTTAAGTAATATAAAATTACGATTTTTACAAGTAATAACAAGTTGTAATGCATTTGTAAGCAGACATTTATTTTTTTAACAATTAACAATTAACAATTTATTTTTTTAACAATTAATGAACACCTGATGTCAGCCAATGTTATTAATTATATATATATATATTTTAAATATATTGGCACTGGCGTATGTGTTGGCTGCTTAGTAACAAGAGGTTTTTTTGTGTTATATTTTTAATACTTGCATACCTTGGTCACAAGTCTTATACAGTTCTTTTTGTATTGTGTGTATGTTTATGTGAAAAAGTGAATATTGGGTCATTTAAAATTTTTTAAACTTTCATCACTCAGACTGTAATCATATATAGATATGTCCTCATGAGTTTTAAACACATTTGTAAACAAAATGCCTGTAATTGATTTGAACATGTGTATAGAGAATGAATGAGTGCTTTATAATACAGTGTAAGAACTGGTATCAATGCACCAGTAATGGATGCTTCATAGGAGTTATAATTGTTCACAAAAACATTAAAAACAACTACATTATTACATTATAAGCATTTATTAGGTGCCTATATATTGCTTATATATGCTAAAATAAAGCACACACTCTTTGTGGTTACAAAGCTGTCTGATCAGAGGTTATGTTCACTCTTAGGAGGATTTTTTTTATTTCACCAGATCAGCTGCAATTAATGGAGGACAAAATCCCAGATGAATGTCATAAAAGATATTTCTAGCGAAAATAACACTTAGCTTCATATTTCTTGTACTGCATTACATTAGATATGGTAAGGAGCACGCTTCTGGGACAGAAGCCTACAATTAGATTACTTGCTGACAATGACCTTTCCTCTGGAGTGCCTTGATAAGGCCAGCCTAAAGCACCAGATCCACATGTTAAAGGACATGCTGAAATTAGCAAAGAAAGAGATCATTAACCTTTGAGTTTCATTTGTATTCCTTAAAACCAACTTGTCCTACTTTCAGGGCTTTTTGTTGATCATGACTAGAACATTTTCAGCACTGCTGTATTTGATCCCAGCACAGAATTCATATGAATACGACTGAATTTCAAACAGTGTCAATTCAAGTCCATCTTTGCATGCAGATGATACGCCAACCTTCCCATTATCTTCTGTGTGATGTGCAGAAAAGTAAGAAGTCAGGTGACTTTTGTCATAACGTAAACGGAACTGTTGCACTTTGGTTAGGTTCAGACACGAAACTACAGAGGTTAGGTTTAGGAAAAGATCATGATTTGTTACATAAGTAACCTAAGTGGTCTCCTGGCTGAAAGTTTGTTTGACCAATGCATCCCCAACCTCCTCTATATGTGAACTTGTCACTCTTTATGCATACAAAATTGGACTTTGGTGTATGCATTGCATGCAATTTGAAAGTCTAAAGTTGTGTTATTCATATATTATTCATATTATGCTTATAGAACACCTACTGTACAAAATATAATGTACTGTACATATGAAGGGAATTGCACATGAGCACAATATATTACTGACCATCACTGCGGAGGACAAGTGGAGTGGGTGGACCCTGGACCCGGGTCTTGGTGACAGTGTTGGTCACCACGCAGGTGTAATTGCCAACATCTGAGGGCTCCACCATGGCGATGTACAGATTCCCTGTCTCCTGCGAGATGAAGCGACGAGTATCCTGCTTCACAAATGTTGGGTACTCATTAAAGATCCAGGAAAATACGAGATCTGTGGATAAAGAAGAAAACAATTTAAATATGAAGCCAAAAAATTATTTGATGCCGGTCATGAAACAGGATGGAGGGAAGTTAGATATTTAGGTTGAGGTGGTGTTTTAAAGCTCCTGAGGGTGACAAAGTTATGTCATGCTAAGGTAAAAATTAATGACAGGATCAGTTAGAGGTTGCAAACAAATGTAATTATCTGAACTCACTTCAAATGATCATTTTTCATGTTGATGAGGTCTGCATACTAGACTAGGGATTGGGGAGACACTGGGGTGTGTGTTGTCATGACTGATTACAGTTCCCTGCGCAGCCAAGTTTCTAACACCACAACAACAAAAGGCATCATTAAAAAAATGTCTGTAGACTTTACAGAGAAAAACTGTCAACCCATGACAGTAAAAGACTGCAAACTCTAAATAGGTTAAATACAATTTCTGTGACAGTAAAACACTGTCATATCTCATGGCAAAATCTTTATTTATATGACATTTTAAAGGAATATATATGGAATAAAGTTTTTTTTATATTAAAGACTAAATTAACCACTGTCATATCAAGTGGCAAAAACTTTTTTTATATGGCATTCATATGGTATTTTCATGTGGCAAAATGGTTTCTTTTGATGGTAAAAACTTGTATTTATATGGTAAAATATGACATTACTTTCAGTACTAATGTCCTTGTACTGTAATAGTAGAAGACTTCTGGGTTAGATTCATCACTAAAATGCAAAGTCTAATAATCAGGTTCATTATATTTTTCTCTTAATGTACAAAACAAGCAATAATCACCGGATCAATTCCTGACAGTATTTTTATTTGGCTTATCAAACAGTCACATCTTCGGAAACAATTTAGAAATCTTATTATTGTGCATCAGATGCAATATTTTTGTTCCGGCTGACTAAATTAGTAGTAGTAGTAGTGGCAGTAGTCTGCCAATTTTCCAAAATGTGGCTTCTATTTAATTTTTATGTATGTGTTCTGTCTGAGTTCCATACAGCAAGTACAGTAATGGTAAGGCAGTCAAAACTAAGTAATGCGCCACTCATAACATAACTTTGTGTGAAACTGTCAAAAGCTGACAGGAGTTGTGCAGAAATGCTGTTACAGTACAATCACAGTTAGGATGCATGTTTTGTATTATGAGAGAACAGCCAAAAGTGATGCTCCAGTTCACTAACAGGAAGTGAACATCATGTTGGCAAGTACCTGTCAGACCGCTAAAATCAATAAAACAGTGTTGGAGTTTAAATGTCAGCCTTTCCCCAATGTCACATAATTGTTAGAGTATTTCACAATGAGCAAAACGCACATTTTGAAGTCTTGAGATTGATTCATGTCTTCCTTCCCTTTGTTTCTCTTGCTTTCCATGTCTCTCTCTCTCTCTCTTTTTCTGTCTTTTTCCAAGGGACTGCATCCTAACCTTGCGAGGCAACTGGACAAAATCACCAGATCAGGTGAGAATATGTCTTTCATCTACACAACCTTATGAATGACTTGATAAAAGGTGTAAAACTAAAGCTAACTCAGCACACCCACTTTGTGTAAAAAAATAGACAACTTAGTTTGCAGTTATCTGGTTCATTAGGCTTCCAGTCTGAAATCATGAGCTGCTTTTAAAAAAGACAGCAAATTATTTAAATCAATGGCTAATTATTGAGGATTGAATAGAGTAATAATAATAATGTAATTACTATGTGATTATAATTAATAACTGACTGTTACAGTAGATGAAATTGAATAATTATGGGACTCCATTAAACCTGGTCAATAATCCAATGTAATGTGAACCAGTGTTTGAACTGAAACGAATGCTGCAGAAAAAGGTGAACAATGAGGGTTTTTACGATACAATATGATTTATATAAAATGTTGTAAACCTGCTTTGAATCACTAGTAGCAGTAGCATAATTCAACCACATCATCTCTACCATGATTTGACAGAGATATTAGGAATGCGATGCAGAAGTGATCACACAGCAGCTCTGGCATCTGAGAAATAAAATGAGAAAGAAATGCGCTACACATGTGTGAAGTGAGAGAAATACTGTATGTTTCCCACATGATATTTTTCATAATTCATGACTCCATTTATCTTTTAGTGGCTGCACTGAATGAATTGGATCCAGTATATCTCTAATAGCCCTCTATGGCTCGGCCTCATTCACGAGATCTCCTCCTAGATGAATTCCTCACATTACTGATGTCAACTCATCAAATCTGAATGGAGTGATGCAGTGCACTGCTCTGGAGTGTTGCAGCCAGGCTAACTGACAGGCACGTGCCATTGTCCTGCTGAGCTTAATCAAACCCTCCCACTTGTTAGTGGACTAGCAATTAAACAAAACAGTCTTGGAGGAACCCTCCCCTGCGCCTCCCCTAGCTGCTTGGCCGTTTATCACAGCATGATCCCATACTCCAACTGGCTGAAAGGAGCAGGTACTGCACTGCAACGGAGGCGGCCGATCAGCACCGTTTGGGGCTTGGGCTTATAGGGTTTGGCTGCTGTGCGTGTGGAGCTGAACACAGAGTGATGGCACAGGTCCGTAGGGACAAGGGACACTTCAAGGCAGGATAAGGCATGTTGTTTGTGTTTGCTTCCTCTCCAGTGCTTTTGGACTACGGCTGCACCTGCTCTCCTTCTATGTTTAAAACCCATATGACTACATGGCACAACATGAGCTGCAGAATGCCGCAGAGAGCGAAAACATAATGAGATATCTCATACAGCTGGCCGAACAGTCTTCACAAAATCATCCAGGGCATTGATTATATGGGTTACACAATGCTCCCTGGTGTACAAACAGGACATCTCCAAGACAAAATGTAGAAGAAATCCTGAATGTCCTGTGAGACAGCATTACAATCACTGCCATGGTAACAGCAAATCAGCCTTATTTGTATTGTGATGAGCTCAAATTAACAATAAAACTAAGGTGTTTTGTTTTAAAGTCTAAAAAATGGATATTGCAAAGGTTTTTTCAAAGCAGAGAATACATAATAATCTTGATGTTTACAATTCTACTAGAGTCTGGCTTCTTTTGGTCCATCCAAAAAAAAATCCATTGCCATTTCCAAAACTTGATCCATCGGGGGGGGGGGGGGGGGATTTCAGAAGTCCCTGAAGTGTTCTTTGTGGCTTCCCTCTAGGTTAAAGATCACTTTGCATAAGTCACAATGAATAAAGCTGCTCCACTCACAAAAGGAGACCTAGGAGCAGCTTCAAAGGACAGGCATCACTGAATATTCAGAGACTGAACAAGACATGCAAGTCAAACATGCCCGTCTCCTTACACAGTTAAGATCATGCTCAGACTGATTTGTGATAGTATAAAGATGGAGCATGAAGACAAAGATGGTAGGCAGTAATCCCAAAGTAGGTCTATCATCCTGTATGACAGCCCTGAAAGGGAAAGACTCTATCAACTTAGGGCACCTGTGGATGGACACACACAGTCGCAACAGTATGAGCATTATTTAAAGGTCCAGTGTGT